ATTGTCATCTAAAAATTGGAAAATAATCTGATTAAATGATGAGAGATGCGTACCAAGGGCCTGCTACTGTTCCTTATCTGCATAGCAGGGAGCAGCATCATTTTTATTACTTTCAGCAATCAAAGACCCTCCATTCAGACTCTGGTTACAGAGACTCACAAGCAGCTACGAAACTTCCAAGTAATTATATTTATATTGTTCAACTATTATTAATTTTAGTTTATTTCAGATGAAAATAATTATTTTCGCTATTACTTTAACTTTTTTATAGGAAAACTTAAAAGATGTTGAAGAGAAACGCTTGGTAACAGACTCAAAGTATCTTGCAATGCTTGGCCTCGATGGGCAAATGAGCACAACTCCTTTTAGTCTTAAATCACAAAATGTGACTGTCGTCTCTCTTATAAGGCCTGGAAACGAACAGCACATTTATGGCTTTGTCAGAAATATCAGTCATTTTTTGCCAAATAATAGTATTGTCATTTATAGCGTTGGATTAAACGATGATTCTTTGCAAAATATTAGAGCAGCTTGCAACTCTACAAAGTGTAATGTGATTCATTTTGACATAAGTCTGTTTCCAGCGCATGTTGAAGATGATAGACTGCATGTTTATAGACCTTTAGTTATACAGGTAAGTAACATTTCGTTGTTATAATTATAGAGATACAAGCATTATCGATACAAATTGCAGAATATTTCTTTTGCGCACCACAGACAGCTTTAAACACATTAGGAAACATATTGTACATGGATTCAAATGTGCGTTTGAATTCATCAGACGTTTCGAAGTACTTTCTACCAAAATCTGGAATTTTAACTTGGCCTACAAGGCACGCCATTAGCTCTTTAACGCACCCAAAGATGTATGAATATTTTCATGTCTCCACAGAAAGTTTCTTCTTTCTCCCATTAATAAGGGCATCACACTTGATAATTAGGAATGTTAAAGAAATTAGAGAGAAGGTAATGTTGCCTTGGGTTCAATGTGCTCTAACGAGAGATTGCATTTGTCCAATTGGTATGTACTCTAGAAGTGATCTTATCTGTGCATTATTTATAAAAATATCTGTTGGCAAAATTCCAATGCACGTAATGTTTTTTCGATTATACAGGAGCTCAATCGGCAGGATGTCGATTCAATAAGAAACCGCAATACCGGTATTCCGGTTGCCACGCATACGACACATCTGCACTAAATATCGTACTCGGACTGCACTTCAATTTCGACGACACATATTACGTACATCAAGAGCGGGAAACGTATTTCAATAAGATTCAACCTGAGGAGATCACGGAAGAGTATCATCTGATTGCCAAACAGAACAATGCAACCGAGTCGAATTTAAGGAACTTCATATCAACTGAACGCTAATTCCTCTAAGATCTCAATTCATTTTGAATCAAGATATAAGTGATACGTCGATCAAGCACAAGTTACTATAAGGGTACATAATAAATTGAAGAACAAATAAAAACTTTAGCTTAAATGATCTATCTGTGTTTCATTACTTACGAAACTTGCAGAGATGCAGTTTTTTTTTGTATTACGTGTTTTAGTTACATTTAAATTATTGTTTGCAATGAATGAATCTTATGAAAAATGAGAAAAGCAGAACACATTTTAATGTAATTGTTTCCTTAATCACTTTTATCTAAAATATCGAAAAGTACCGAGCGTGATCTGTTTTCCTTGCAGGTCGATTACTAAAACCGCTCGCGGCAAATCAACCAAAGCATTGTCAAATCTCAGTTGTGTTAGCGTTACGAAGAGTCGCTTAATGGAGGGAATCCTTCTTGGTTGCAGGCGACCGCCCCGTAAATTTCTAAACTTATGCACGGAATTGTGCGTAAACTCTTCTGGAAAATCTATCGATAAATTCAATGTTGAACCGCGATTCGATGTCATTTAAGGGGATTCGTCATTGTTTGTAAACGAAAAATATAACATCGCGTGGATCATGGACGAATGTACATTCACGAGTTCCGTGTGGGCTCCTAAGAACTGATTGTAAGACGCATATCGCGAGTCGACGATATGTGACGTGTCCCGAACAATCGACGTACTTTTGTCTGTTTGTAATCTCCGACCTCACATTACCAGACCAAGGGTTAAGGACACTTGACGATGGTTGACAGCGACGCTGACAGCTGGTACAATTGGAAACAGGATGACTTTAATAAATTCCATCGCGAAGGGGTGGTTAATGCTTCGAACAATGCATGTTTGACCAGTATCAGCCATTTAAATTGTCTAACATCTGATGATAGTCAAAAAAGAAATTTTCAAAACACTGGATTGATCTTGAACACTGCCGCCCCTACAAGCTCTAGATCTACAGACATTCGCTTCATTAATCCAGCAATTTACGCTGAAACATTGAACAATGAGGACGAAGAACGTGAGATCCAAATTCGAGTGAAGGTCAGTTCGACAGACGATAGACCTCGCGAAGGGAATTGTGGTGATTTTACGGGAAAGAGTGATACAGTGACCACATTGTCTATCAAGAATGATTTGGGTACCTCGTTCGTGGACCACGCTGGTGACCAAGTTTCAGCTCAAGAAACGTATCGTTGCTACTCCTTAAATTCACCAACCACTTCCTTGGAATCTGGTCTTCCGCGATCTAAGTTTGTAACTTCATGTAGACCTTCCTCTCGTGTCGAGAGACGATGTAAAATCACTGATAGAGGTGTCGATGATGACGAGGTTTGCTTCAACAGAAGAACCGATTCGGAAGTACAGAGGTATTCTGTAAATTTGTAACACTAAAAATTAGTGCAGTAACATATCAGATCTATAGAAAAGTTTTGTTATTTTTTTAAGGGTGTATGCCTATCTAGGAGAATTCAAAGCAAACATATCTTTCAGAACTTTTTGAAGAAAATCTTTTGAGAAGATATCTTTTTGAAGAAATTCTTTCCCAGAAGGCATTTTTCAGGAGGCGTTTTGTGGTGACCACTATTACTCTGAGCTGAATTAACTGAGATAAAAAATCCGAGAACTTTTCAATAGTATATTAGTTTATCTAGTCTTTATCGGGTTGAATTTTTGAAAAATAAATTTGTAATAAAATGACGACAGTCAAAAGTTAAGATATCAATTCTCGGCCAAAAAGGCGTTCACTTTTTGTCTATGATATAAAAACTAGTAAAAAAAAAAAGAAAATCTACCGATAAAGACTAGATTTTTATCTCTAAAACAAGCTTAAAAAGTTTGAACTAAATCGATATAGTAGTTTCCGAGATATATTGGTCACGCGTTTTGAAAATGCAGTTCTGAGAAAAACGAGTTTAAAGTATTAGTCAGGATGCGCACGTAATGAAACGATTTTACTAATTATTACACTGTTATATTATCCAAGTCATTTGATGTGTCGCTCAGGTACACATTCAATGGTCATCGTGTCGTGCAAGTTTCAACATCATCCTCATCAAGCATTACCATTTCGGAGGACAGGATGACCAAAAACTATTTCCTTAAGAGAATCCCTTACAATGAGTGGGTGAGAAAAAAACAGGAAGCAGCACGACAAAAAAAAGAGGAGGAGGATCAAGCTGAGAGAAAGAAACAAATGGAAGCGGAGAGACTTGCGCGCAAGAAAGAAGAGAAGGAATCCCAAGAACGAGACAATTTTTTGAAGTGGTCTGAGAAGAAGAAAAGGGAAGAGGAGCAAAAGAAAGCGGTAATTGACAAGGAATTGGTGGAATTTCAGAAGCAGTTGAAGGACATAGAAGACAAAGCTGCCATGGCAAAGAGTCTGTATCTTCGACAATGGACTCGCAAAAAGAAAGAAGAAGAAAAAGGTAAAGAAAGCGAGAGTAATTCTCGATACTTTCAAAATTTGATATTCTTGATGTTCATCTAGCTCGCCAGAAGATAGAAGAGATGAAACGCAAGCAGCATGATGAGGAGAAGAAGAAAAGGTTGGAAGAAAGTACAAAAGCCTATGAAAATTGGCGAAAGAATGCAAAGAACAGACCTAAGCCAGCCACGCAAGGACTTCTACGTTAGTTCTATTATACTTCTTTTAAATCTAAATGTTCATAGTACCGATTGGGTATACAAGAGAGTTCCACTTCATAAATCATATCGAATACAGAATTACATTATTTTGTCAATTTATGTAATTTATAAAAAAAACTACGTTGCTTGAATTGAAACAAATTTAATTTAATATTAATCTTGATTTACCAGCTCATCAGAAAGCAAAACCAGCTTACGTGAACCCTACACCTTGGCAAACAGTTGGCGATGACGCTGAGGATCACGAGGAAAACTTATCGAATGCTAGAAAAACGCAAAGCCAGCCCAAGATTAGTGGTAAGAGAAGTACTACACATTATCAGTGACACGAGCATTAACAATGGGAAGAATTGTGCGGTTCGAAGAATAATCACCCGATTCGATTCTTTAGCGTTGGGACAACGTAAAACTTCACAGAAGTCGCGAATCAAACAAAAAGTACGAATAAATATTGTACTTTGCATTACAAACTCCTGTACTGTGTCTGCCTTAGCAGGCAGGATCACCTTGCGTAGATTGCGTCATACAATTAGAATAATGATCACGCTCTGACGTAGTAAATACCCTGATAAATAATTTTATTTCATAGCTGATATTGTTTGATACCTTTTACAACTTTCACTACCTTTTTTGTGTGTTTGCTCCTGTGATTAATGAATATTAATGTATCCGAACATAATCGCGATTAACGTCCTTCAAGCACTATTTAGACGATTTAAGAAACAAACAAAAATAGCAAGAACAGAATGGAGATTCTCGCCTTAACAATCGAAGGTTTTGTAGATAATTAAAGATAAAGAATTTGCGTGAGAGGAATTAAAAAAAAACATATACGCAGAAGACAAGCATTCTTATTATTTATATTGCTAACATTGTAAATTATACGACGTAGATTCGTTACATAATCATCATCTTATTGGACAGGATCATGGAAAGTACACTTTCATCTGATTCAGTATGTCAATCATGCTTCGAGGAGAAGTGTTAAATCTTTATTGATATAATAATCTTCAATTCACCAAATAAAGTGGCACATATTGATTTCTTTCACTTCTGTCGAATCAATGCAATTAGACAGTTAGTTCATAAAATTATTACAAAGTTTACATGAATAATTGCCAATATGCGCGTCTAGTTGGGTCTACTTGATCAAACTTTCTTCTTCTTCTTGAAGTCTTTCTATGTCTGACCTGTTCATGAAGTAGTAGGAGGGTTGCCGTGATTTCTGAAAATTATAGGATTATTACTATATACAATTATTAGTATTGCTTTTATGCGCAGCGCAGGAGAAATTGTTTACCAAATCTTTGACGGTACGTTTTGCACCCGCATGAATGAGGATATTGCTCAACTCTTCGACCAAAGGCAATCCCATTGCGTAATGCAAAGGGGTTCTTTCCAACTAAAATAGTAGAATAAATATTTTTTCTATTCATCAAGACAATAATATTTAATGATGGTTTATAAAATTAACGATTCTGACGTTGTCACCGATGCGTAAAGTCTCTGGATATGCATTCGCAATGTACTCGACTAGTTCTTCATTCTCTCGAAGGACAGCAATGTGAAGAGCACACCTACTCATCGCATTCTTCCCCATAGCCAACAATTTCCCTCCCCCGTTGTTTCTGTTCAGTAGTTCCATTGCTTTTGGTACATTATCCATTCTGATTTCATGGTGCACTTCCTCGCGTTGTGCCTAGAAAAAATAAACAATTTTTCTGCGTTTAATTTTCATGGAACATTATTAAAACTTATACACATGTAGTACTACAAGTATAGCTAAATCGGAATTAAATATTACTCGTGGAATTCACAAATTCAATAGTTTTTTTAGTTAATTTAAATTGTTAATTTAATTTTAAATATATTGAGGATGTTTTCGACCCAGATTCTAGATTATCTCCAAGATGTAATATTATTTAAAACAAGAATTAGTGAACTAATTGGGAAGAGGTTGATCTACGATAAACATTATAATTTGTTTTATTATGTATTAGTCTCTGAGATGATTTAAATACTATCTATATTACCACGTAATTTGGAATGGATTGTAAGAATTGTACAGTTGCCTCGTGCCCCCGTTCACCAGCAATATCCACGATGTTTGTACCTTCATCTTCTACGTCCAAAATGTGATCATACCCTTCCAATAGTAGTTCGACTAATTTCTCAGTTTCTCCTGTATAAAATGATATCCATTTAGTGTGGGACGGTGGATGCTATTTGACAATTGTGTGTTGAACATTGGCTATGGGAAACTTTTTTTGATAATGACCGACGCTTACAAGAAACATGGGTTGTATTCCTCTGAGACAAATGTTGAGTGTTTCTCTTGGATTCTCTGCTTTGATTCATCTAGTCACTTCGGATAGAGGAATCGAAGCAGAGTATCCAAGAGAATCACTCAACAGTTGCGGAACAGTTGTCTCAGTGGAATGCGCTCATGTCAATGATCTCCTAATTTTTGACAATGCAATACAACTTTACGTTCGATGATTCTGGAAAATTTTCACCATTTTTTCTCATTAATGACCACTATTTACACTGATTGCTCACCCCTTGCTGCTAAATAAGCCACGAAACGATCAATTTCTTCGACGTTTTCTCGAACATTTGCCAATTCAGCAACATCCCTAGCTGTTCTATATAATTCATCTCTGAAACCAATATTAATTTGGCTTTCTTGAAGGAGATTGAACAGACCATCCTTCGAGTAAGAACGAATTGCTGCAAAGTGAATTACGCTTTGTCCATGTTCATCCTGAAAAAAATGGAAATCATTTTAACCGTTTTATTTGTGATAAACTTCCATTTGTATAAGCATGGACCATGTATATATATTGAGATGAATTCTATTATTGTGGGCATTATGAATGATATAACAGTCGATATATACTCTGTTAGGGTTACTAAAAGCTGATTCTGGAGCATCAGAACCAGGACTTCGTGGGTAACCAGCATCGTCATCTGGGTTTTCATTCTCAATATTCTCTATATTTTCCTCAGCGCGATCAGGAATGATCAACACGTTGGGTTCCTGTAATATGTATTTTCAAATTACAATCGATAGTATATTCACAGAAACATAGTATTGTTGCTTATGATTTATCCCCCAAAATTCATGTATTAACAGAATAAAATAAGACTAAAAATCAAATATTCCAAGAGGAATATTCCTCTTGGAATATTTGATTTAATTCCAGTAAGTTAGTGTATCCTAGCAAGTCTTTAAATAGTCTACGTGGATGACCTCCCGTATGTATCATTATCATTGTAATGGATTACCTGTTCTTGTCCACCATTTTTGTTTTTATTGGCAAAATTATATAGATAGGTTGCCAGATATGTAACTGGATCCTTTGGACGTGCATTGGCAACTTCCGTTAAACCTTTGAGCAGTGGATCGCCAAGAGCTGTTAACATAGTTCAAATAATACTCTTCTTATTTCGATGAAGTTATCAAAATCAATCATACAAGGGAAGTTAGGGAATCTAGACATTTTTGAAGATTGTTTGTAAGTAGAGTACAGTTCATCTATAATATAGAATAATTTTTGATTGGTGTCATAATATACTTTTAGGGGGATTTAACTCTTGAATAAAATTTACATTTTTCTATTTTATAAAGTAATTTATAGATATAAAGAAAAGCAATATTTACCAACAAACAATTTTTTACTTCAAAATTGTCTGAATCTTTTAGTTCCTATTCCCCTTTTTAGTTTCAAGTTAACGTTAACTTACATGATGCTAAATATCGACCTTCCTCCTCTTGGAATATTGGCATATCAAGTGGAGTGTCGCCTTGAACAAACAATTATATCTGCATTTAAAGAATTGCAATAAATAAAATAGAATCTTCAGAAACCAAAGAAATTAACTAACTTCGTTTCTTGTGAATATTTAAAGTTTAGCAAAATTTTAAGAAACAATGTTTATGGAGTTAATCAGTTTGGTTTCTAAGAGGTTCATATTTTGCCTTCCAATTGGAAAACGACTGATTCAGATTGTTCAATCGAAGCATTTTCACAACAGTTTGATTAAAGATGAATAATCAAATACAGAATACAAACAATTTTTCGTAAACAAAAAATTCATCATGAATTCATAGTGCATTGCTCCACTCTGAAAGTTGTGCATACACAGATGTACAAAAAGCTCAAACAGCCACTTGATGCAAAAACACACAAACACCATAGCTGCGAAAATGGTTACGATAAAAGTTTGTTCTGGAGGGGTGCGTTAAATGCATGTTTGATAATTTCGTTTTGTTCCATATATATGTATATACATATATAATAATTTACATACAGCAGCCACTTATAAAGATATTTATTGTCAATTGAGTACATCAAGTTGGAAAGACATGTGCTACGCCATTTCTGTTTCTGTGAACATCGAACTTGTGCATGACATATAAATAAGCACCGATAGAAATTTTCTTATAAGCTTGTTTTTTCACCCATTTCTTTTTCTCCAAAGACTTCCCCATGTAATTTGGATTGTCATTCGTAAACGTTTTCCAAAGGCTTCCTGATTGCTCAATTCGGATACATATATGCACATATTTCACGTAAGCATGGTGTCATGTAACAACTGTTCGTGGATCAATAATGTTCATTTACTAACCTAATAAACAATCCAGCGTCCCTCTGAGAAGTTAATCCGATTAAACGAAATTTTGCTCAAGTATCGTTACTCGATGCACGAGAAATGGACGTAATGTTTACACACATCTTTCCAACGATCCCCCTTTTTCTGGCATACGGTTCGGGTTATAGCTCTAGCCTATGCTAGATGATATATTAATCGACAGTCGAATATTGTGACTCAAGAATTATCACAGATAATTTTCACGTATAAGCGTATTATTCCAGTATTTAAAAAAAAAAAAGTAAAAGTCTTCGATGATGTAACCGATGTAAAACGTCTTCACAGACGCTGCCCCGGTCTCTCCTCATCCGTTAACCCTGAAAACGTTTTGCACTAGTACGTTTTCGAAACAGTCCTGCAATTAAATTAGCGATTTTCATCGAGCTATTTATAGTCAGCTCCTTCTCCAAGCTCAAAATATTCAACACTGCTCTGGAGAAGTCCTGAAGGGTTTGCAGTTCGGTAATGCTCAAGGATTGTTGGTTGCCTATTCTAACAGTGTCTTGTCTGGCTGTTTCGCGTATACTTAATCCACGAACAACGCACAGGTGTTTCAGGTGCTCGAACTCCTTCGACAGGTCTGGGAACCGTATTATGGCGTTGAATCTCAGTGTGTTGCCGATAGCATACGGCCGAGCACTGAGGAAGCCCAGCTTCTTGTCCCTCTTGAACGTCATTCTCTCATCGAGAATCACCATAATTTTCGCCATTCTCACGTAGGCGCGACCGATCAAGCCTGGTCTACTATCATTGGTCCGACAAACGATCCTTAGGTGGTCCTGGACGTTCACCCAGGCAGCTAGATCCCCAGCAGACGCAACGTAAACTCCACGGCCATAGGGCCAGTGCCTGCCGTGTAGACGTCTCTCATCCTGTACATCAAAATCTGCGATTGGTAACAGCAAACCAGCAGCAGCCAGCTGGGCCCTGATAGGACTGGGTTGATCCAGGATTTCGTTGAGGGTGAAGTACGTTCCTGGCTCGTCTTCGCTGCTACCCTCGGCCATTATCCCAGAAATCTCTTGGCTCATCAGCTCGGTGGTGATCTCTCGTTCCACCTCCTCCAATTGGTTCACCGTCAGCGTTAGGGGAAACGTGTACTTCTCCAGGTTCCTACAGCATTCCAGCACCACAGCTTGAACGTATTTAGCTGGAGGATCGAGATCGTACGCCTCGATTGCCGAGATAGTGACCTCGTCTACGGTGTCTGGGCTCTCCTCGCCTTCCTCGTCCTCGCTGTAAAAGAATCTCGGCGCTGGATGGTCAGGAAGATCGCCACTTGCGGTGACGCAGTGGATGTCCCTGATCAGTGGGTCGAAAAATTCTGAGAAGACGATGTAGCTCTCATAGTCCGGCGCCACGGCTGTCGAGGACGGGTCCTCTTCGATAGCGTTGCTGACGTGCGAATAAGCGCTGCTCGCCTTGCTGTTGTAACTCGAGTTGCCGTGTATCTTTAAAGCGGGCCAGATCACATCAAAGAGATTGTGATCCATGCGTGTCACACGGTGCTTGATACCATCGAATATGGGCCGTTTTAGACAACGGCTGATCAGTGTACCGGTGGTCCCCGGCGATTTCAGGGTCGTGCTGTGTCTGGTGCCTGCCAGCAGACGGAAACACCTCTCCAGGGTGGCTAGTGTCTCTGGGTCGGTTATGTCCCGACGTGCGGAGAATGTGTCGCCTCCGGGAACTGTTTGCCTCGAGCATCGAGGAAGAACGTCCGGGAGGAAGACGGAAAGAGTGAAACCGCGGATACGTTAATCAGGAATTTTTTTGGTTTGTTTTGATAGTAATGGTGAATGGTTGAATGATCTTTTGAGATGGTGTGCTGTTGAGGAAACTTTGATGACGTGTACTGATTTTGAGACTTGTTAAGTATATAGAGAACTCGAATGAATATTTCTGCCATCACATTCTTTAACAATGGATTGTTTATTTCGTTTGACGACTATATTGTACGTAGAGAAACGAAGGCGTAACCCTCGCTATGGCAAAAAAGTATACTACCGGTTATTGTATCATATCTATTTTATAAGAGCATTTCTATTTAAAGAAATTATGCAATTGTTAATTGCACCTGCACTGCTGCATCTAAAAAAAATTTAAAGTCCTACAGATGTAGTGCTCTTTGAACTATTTATCTTTCTCCTTTGGCATTTTTTTGTAAATGCAATAATAACGGAGTTATGACTTGAAACAATTGCGTGGACCACCCTGTATAACAGGTTGGCTCTGTTCAAACTAGTGTTTATAAATATTTAAAATGGTGTGGTTGAAGTTACATAAAGTATTTTGTACTGATTGTTCGTGTATTTTTTCATTATTATCTTAAAAGTATTCTGAAACTGTCCTCCTTGTTGCTTTTCTGTTTGTATAATTCTCCGGATGTTAACGATTGGGAAATCGTTCTTGGTAGTAACTACAATTTATAACGGTACCTCCATTAGCCACAAGCTTCCAAAGCAAGTATCATATCAACATCCTCTCGATTAAAATATTTTGTCACAATATGGAAACAATTTGTGAAAACTGAAAAGAAATAAACTGTTACGCAGTCTGTCTAACTATGACTTTTATTTCAAATCGAATTCTGTGGGTATATTCTATGACATTACATATCATCTTCAATGTTTACAAACACTAGCTCGGACATAGATAGGTGTTAGAATACAGGATAACCAAATCATATTTCATAGTTTATATGTATAGTTGAACAAACTTTATAATCGACTTTCTCGGAAACGATGTCGTGGATTAAAGTCTAATACTTTGTAAATTATTGAGTACCAGAGCCGAAGGATTGATTAGAGGTCAAGTATTCGTTAGTTCTTTATCTACCTATAAAGTCAGTGCCCATTAATGATTTATCTTGTAATTGTGTTGTATCATTGCAAGTGTTATAAAGTGTTATCTATTATTGCTAAATTGGCCAGTATCTTTCTGTCGCCAAACAAATATTTTAGTCAGTCTTGAAAAACTATTTAGTATGTGATAATTTTAATGTATAACTGTGAGACGATGGCACATGAACTAACGTGACGTTGGAACTATTTATATGTATATTCACACGACAGTATATCGGAGTGAACTTTAAATTTGAATTTGTACTATAAAAATTAAAAGTATCAGGGTGAAAACTGCAACAGTGCTTTGAACTATTGCTGCACAGTTCTTTTTAGTGTAGTCGATGGTGCTCATAAGTGCCTCGTTTGAAATGAAATACCTTTGTCTGTCAACATTTCATCCGCCAGTTTCTCATTAGCTCCAAAAGCACGGAGAAGCAATTTATGCGACAATTCGGTTTGATTTAGCTTGTAATACTCCGCTTTTTTCCCGAACTAGTGAGAAAGTATAAGCAAGAGATTTAAATATACATACATTGTTAGTTTCATTAAAATATGACATTATAATCATACGCAACATCGTAAATACTCGTTTGAGTATAATAAGTACAAATAAGTACAAACAATTTAACGAATTTGAAAGTAAAATAGTATTTATTATTAATTTTTCACAGATTTATGAGATTGCTAACGATAAACTGATTTTTGTCGAGAATATTATGAAAGTGATTGCACTTACATTGTCTTGAACTAGAGGATTGGCTCCCAAATGAAGTAGAAGGTTATAATAATGACCATTGTCTGCGAGAGTTGCCCCATAATGCAAAGGTGTTCGGCCATCTGCATCGATTGCATGCGCAGTTTCTGGAAACCTCCCCGCCAGATATCTAAGGAAAAGGTAATAGAATTTACAGTGATCGATAAAACACGATTGGACCTTGGCAAGGTGACTCGTTACACTATTAATTTCACTGGTACTTATAGCGTGAAGTTAAAGGTGTCACAAAGATAATTGTAATGTAAAGCTTCGCACGCCATTAAATGTCTGATTCTAATAAGAAGTGTACTGCAATCGCATAGCACATATCAAAGTCGATACGCGTGTAAAAACTAGTCTAAGACTAATACATTAAGAGAAACAAATGTGTTATTCACAGTAATATTTTTTGGCGAAGCAATCTTAAAAATGTTTGAAATTAAGTTAGTGAGCAACAAGTTAAGTAAAGGTTTTGATTAAATACTCTATTTAGGACTTCGTGTTTTAACTTCCACTAATATAATTCATTTATGAACTATTTCCTTCAATAGTCATCATTATAAAATATTAGGTAAGCAAAAAAGTTCTGAGTTCTTTCCTTAATGAAAGAAGGTCATTGATAGCAATAAAATTAAGCAATAAAATAAAATAAATTTAATAACACACAGCGATAAGTTAAGAGTGATTCATTTTAAACTGAATAAAAATTGTCAACACAGATGTTTGTAATTAGTGCGATTGAAATTTAACGTACCTAATGATAGTAGTGTTTCCAAATACAACTGCCACATGAAGAGGCGTTGCACCGCGTGGCGACGAACCATCTCTTGCTACTGCAAATTTGCGACGATCCAATGAACTTTGCAGATCTCTCAGATTTCCTTCTCGTGCTGCCATATGCACAGCATGAATCTTGCCCTGATATCATTACACAAATTTTTAATTACATTTTCTAAACTAAAAGTGTAAACAGCAAAAGTGTTGCACCATTGTCATTTGATGTATCGACAATTACTAAACATTAGTTGTTCCGTGAATTTATTTAGAGGAGAATTTTAACAAAACGTCATTTGAATGTTCTTTGATTAAATGTGGAGCATAATATCCTATCTCGATTTAAATGGACAACCTCAGTTTTATGAGAACGAATATCAACATTTTTTAATTTTAACACAGACCCTTATGGAACGTACAGATTTTCACATGAATTTTTTTAAATTAAAATCAATGTGAAATTAAGGAACTTTAGGAATTATTGTTTCTGTAGCCACAAGTCGATTTTTGTGCCATGTCAAAAGTATATGAACATTTGTAATTTGTTCAAAGTTTTTATCCTTAATTCTATAATACCATCGTTATTAAAGATAATACAGTCGATTGTAGATTGTAGAGTGAATGTAGACATTAATGTATATATACAGGGTGTCCCAAAAATGTTGGAGGTCCTTGAAAAGGGTGGTTCAGGGGGTGATTGGAAACAACTTTTTCCTTTGCAAAAATGTCGGATGGGGCTTCGTTGAGGAGATATTAATAAAAAAACCCGTCCAATCAGAGCGCGCGTATACTGTTGAAGCGGCCGCGATAGCGATGGTTACGCGCTAGGTAGCCGCTCTCGTACACGAATAAGTGACTCGACGTGCATCGAAGGATATTGACGCGGCCGTTCAGTGCGTAGCCTTCGCTACCGCGGCCGCTCCAACGGTATTCGCGCGCTCTTATTGGTCGGTTTTTTTTATTAATATCTCCTCAAAGAAGCCCCATCCGACATTTTTGCAAAGGAAAAAGTTATTTCAAATCACCTCCCGAACCACCCCTTTCAAGGACCTCCAACATTTTTGGGACACCCTGTATATATCTATAGAATAATATTTTGTCATTGTTTTATCGTTAGTAACAGTTCTTGACAATAACATGCTTATAAAGTTTCTGCAGTTTCGAGTGAATTCAGAATTCCATAAAAGTAAATAAATATGCATTATTAATACATGATGTAAAGTGTGAATTTTTATAAAACGAAGATAAATTAATGTGATGAATATATTGGAAACAATATTTAAGTCTACTTTCTATTGGAGCTACTGTAAAGTATTCGATTCATACAGAACGTACTGGAGGTGTAAAATGAAAGCAACTTCTTTGAACAAGAGAATCATTTTAAAGTAATTTGACTGATTGTTTTGTATGTAGAATGGTACTTGCAGCTAAATTTTCCGTGTATGATGAAATTTGAAGTGAAAGTGTTTGTATACTTTCATACGGTATAAAAATCGACTTTTAGCTATAATAACGTTAATTCTTTCCATATTGAAATGCAAATATATGTACAGTGTTTGTTTTTCACGTTGAATATCGTAGTATAATTGGTTTTTGTGAAAAATTGTTTTAAGGTAGTTGTTTCGAGATACATAGTTCCGTTCAAAAGTATAATTGGAAGCTTTTGTAAAATACAATCTCACTGCTCTCACGCTCGTTCATAATAAATTAATATGTATATCTAAACGTATATTCAACATTGTGATATCATTGTACATAAAACAATATGACTGTAACTGCTCAACGTCACTATGTTTAGTTTCAAATTGTAATGTTTCATATCTCAGTAACGATGTTATCAGTAATTGTTACTTTTTCTTAAGATGTTTATAATATAGGTTTTTATAACATGTCAAATGTTCAACAAGTTCCTGATTTGCATTTTAATTTAAATTGAAAAAATGATAACGTGAAAATCTGTATGTTCTATAAGGGTTCATGTTAAAATTACAAAATTTTGATATCGTTTTTCATAAAATTGAGATGATCAATTTAAATTAAAATAAGCTAATATGATACATATTTAATCAAAGAACAATGAAATGAAGTTTTGTTAAAATCTTCCATTAAATAAATTCATGGGACCGCTACCTTAACACTTTATATACCGTGAGCCTGTTTATAGGCTTTTTAATTGCAGTATTTAGTTATTCGAATTTATTTACTGTGTCGATGGTTGTCTATGAATAATGTTCAGTGTTTAGTAACTGACTTGGCTTTCAACGTACCTAGTAATAGTATGGAGGAATTATTGTCAGCCTAGATGGGCATATGCTACTGTAGAAAATTCTTTTTTGAAATAAAGACTGTTTCTAAATAATCCGGTAGATAAAGTGTTAAGATACTGAGATAACAAAAATTCAAGTGTTCATATCATTTTGATGCGCAGTATAGTGCATAATACCATATAAGAAGGAACACGGTCGATGAAAGCCTGGAGCTCAGGATTCCCCGAACGCCTGCCAACCAATCTCCTTCCATCTCCATTGAGAACCAAAGTGGCCAACTGTTCCATATTCCCGTTCTCCAGTAGCTTCTCCATTTCCGGATCCGCCGACATGTTGTCCTCGTTCAGTTCTGCCTCTGGAAGCTCGTCGTGTTCTCCTGCGATGACCTGTCGATCATATCCAGGTGAAAACCATGCGCGTGGGCTGCACGTGTCGATCGATAGAGGAAACGTTAATCATACGTAGCAATCTAGATATAAATCGATCGCTAGCTGACTTCGTGTATATTGCGTGTCGATGCGTATATATTTTCGTCGGTATTTTCTGTTTTTTCCATCGATCGAACGACGTAGCGGGTCATGGCAAGCTGTTTCTGTGATCGTTCACTATTATGTCATTGGCAGTCGTTCGTTTAACGTAATTTCTTCCTTTACGTCTAATCGTGAGTAATTAACACTTTATCTACCGGGCTATTTAGAAACAGTCTTTAATTCAAAAAAGAATCTTTTACAGTTCCATATACCAATCTAAGCTGGCAATAATTCCTCCATACTATTGCTAGGTACATTAAAAGCCAAGTATGTTTCCAAAAACTGAACAATGTAAGTAGAAAACCATCAACACAGTAAATAAATTCGAAAAGCTAAATACTGGAATTAAAAAGCCTATAAACAGGCTCCCGGTACATAAAGTGTTAAGTGACCGTGGGAATGGAAAATTAACACTTTTATATGGAAGATCTCTATCGGAGAAGAATAGAAATGTCTTGTCATGTCTTGTTTCGAGAGGCTGAAGGTCAAGATGGCTGAAGCATGCTTTGAAATTCTCTTCAATACGAAGTGTAACAGTTAATGTAACAATCCTAAATTTTAATAAAAATTAAAAGTCTATAATTCGTCTGAAATGCACGCTGAAATTAAATTGAAGCCAACATTCGAAATAGCATAAATTGACCTTCGGTACTACCACTGAAGATGATTGGCCACTTTGTGCCACTTTCTTGCTAATTGTTGTGTCTACTCGAATTACTTACCATGCAGGAAGTACGAGGTTCGGCAACGATGCAAAAGTAATCATTAGCATTTTATAGTTTTACAAATGATAAGTAATAAATGTTTCATTACTTCGAATTAGCGAAAGGTGATTTGAAATAAAATTTGCAAAGAAGCAAATTTCAGTAGGACTATTGTGTTCAGAAGTTACATAACAGAGGCCCTTTGTTCAGTTATTTATTTATTGGTATATTTGTGCGTGACAAAGAACATACTGTATAATATTTTAATATCGATCGTTCCTTAACTCCAATACACAATTGTTTACTTATCCTGACACTTATAACCGTCGTAATGTCAATGGTTACATATACCGGCCGTACACAATCTTTATTATACACTCACCAAATATCAACAATTAAACCCTGCGCTCTTCTTTTCCCATTAACACTTTATTTACCGGGAGCCTATTTATAGGCTTTTTAATTGCAGTATTTAGTTATTCGAATTTATTTACTGTGTCGATGGTTGTCTATGAATAATGTTCAGTGTTTAGTAACAGACTTGGCTTTCAACATACCTAGTAACAGTATGGAGGAATTATTGTCAGCCTAGATTGGCTTATGCTACTGTAGAAAATTCTTTTTTGAAATAAAGACTGCTTCTAAATAGCCCGGTAGATAAAGTGTTAATTCGTGTCGACGTACTTATTTCGTATTTTACTGTTCACTGCGTGTAAATTGCGCGTTTATGTGTGCGTGTTAGCCGATTAAATCCTAAAACTGGATTCGTTTAAGTGTTATTTTGTATGTACCTGATCTTCGTCGTTTCCTGGATCATCGACACCAGAATCACCCGTGCTTGGCTCGTTTCTCTCTTCGTGATCCTTGTTATCCTCCGCCTGGTCAATGTCCTCGTTTTTCTCGGGATCTGCTGATTTGTTTTCTTCTTCTTCAGCTTCATTCGCAGGTTCCTCCGTGGGTTCTTCTTCCTCGTCATTTTCAGCTTGGGAAGCTTCCTCTGCATCTTGCACAGGTGTACCTGTCACTACGTCGTCATCCGACGATCTTTCCTCCCCATCCTCAGGATTCGCCGCTTCCTCTGTAGGCTCCTCCTTGTCTTCTCCTTCATCTGGGTCTTTTGTATCTTCTGTTTCCTCTGCATCCTCTGTGTTTTCCACATTTTCACTAGTCTCTTCTTTTTCTGGATCTTTTGCGTTCTCTGCCTCTTCTGCGTTTCCTGAATTTTCCTGCTGGTCTTGATGGTTTTCAACGTTCTTGATCTATTCCATTAAATAACTTGTTAATCACACGTTACGAATCTAAAAATTCGATTTTTATTGTTCTTCGTATTTATTGTTCTATGATAGCGAAGGATAATGAAGTGATGGATAATGAAGAACTAATGCTAATAGTATATAGTTATATAGTTTTGGAGGCAAACGATTTATAGTTTATAAGATATACAACATTGAAACAATTACTACTATTAATTTAAAGAAATGTAGCTACTGATATTAGAAGTGACTGTGGCATGGTCAGTAAGGCGTTAAGATATTTTTGTTTACTTTTTTAATTTATTTTAAATATACATATGTTAAATACAAGTTATTTGTAAGTGACATAAGAATAATTTGCTTTGAACAACGTCGGCGTCGTATCAATAAAAGAATAGAAAATGGTTCGGCTGTGAAATCAACGATCAAACGCAATTTTTATGCTTCGCATGTTTTTATATAAATTGTAAACTATCATCCAAGCTCATGCATTTTGCATATTCAAAGTAGCAATTAAATTAATTATCCAAAACAAATTATTTTCAAGTTATTTCTAAATAAGTCATATTTAACATATGCATATTTTCAAATAAACTGAAGAAGTAAAAAAGAATTGTTTTCATCCGGGATAGAATCCATGGCAAAAAGAAAATACGTTATTAGGATGCTAACGTTTTACTAACAGCGCCACAGTCACTTCTAATATCAGTAGCTATATTTCTTTAGATTAATAGTAGTAATTGTTTCAATGTTGTATATCTTATAAACTATAAATCGTTTGAATCCAAAACTATATACTATTAGTAGTATTAGTATTATTAGTACTCTCCTTCTTACAATTAGTGAATCATTAAATAGTAGAGAAGTGAACTGGTTCTGTTTGTACCTGATCTATGGATCTGCTGAAACCTTTGGATGCAGATTCAGCGCTGCCAAACGCGCTATCAATGTCTGTACTGCTGACAACCTTCTTCATGGTTCTCGACAATGCTTCCTCACCTTCCAAAATCCTCCAATCCCAGTATTTGGGGTAGGACGGCTTAGAGACTCGAGGCGCTTCCGGTATCACGTTCAAAAGAGTTTGATCTACGTCTGAAGGTCGATTCTTGTAGAATCCCGCTGTTTTTTGTTTCTGATAAAAAGAATAACACGTGCAAGTCTAAATTTTTCGTTTGATTTGAATCTTAGAACAATATATTACAAGTTATATTTTGCTTGAAAACTGTGAGGTCAGATGTATGTCTATTGACCTTGATTGTAGATAAAATCAATGTTTACGACATTTTTATGATATTTTAATAAGTATTTTATAATCCGTTAAGGAAGTATTCTAATCTAGAACTTTCAAATTACCGATTCTTTTTTGCACTTTTCTAAAGTGTAGACCTTTAAAAATATATCTGCTAAAGGATTTTGTTGAATTCGGAAAATACGTTCTAAAATGTGAATAAATATGTGGCAAAACTATTTATAAAAATTCCTCATAGGTTAAAAAAAAAATTCCTCAAAAAGATCTAAAAATTGACACTCTAGAGTAGAATACTTCCATAAATTAATGCAACACAGTGAACACTCACATTGTCCAATTTACTTTCGTCAGCCCCGTATTCTGCCAACAAGTTATACATCTCTCCATCGTCTTTTACCGCGGCTGCATAATGCAGGGGCGTTTTTCCATCGTTGTCTTGCGCTTCCACGACCGATGGGTATCTTGCAAGAATTTCGCGTGCAATTTCCGTGTACCCCAATCCAGCAGCCTATCGATAATTTTGTCATACAAATAACATTGTCCAAATTAATAAAATGTTTAAAATTCAGGTCAGTCAAATCAGTTTATCGACTATTTCAAGAATAATGTAACACATGCATTTTGAACCACCTCGTGATGTTCTTCAGGTGCATAATAATTAGACTGCGGATCTTCATACATTTAAAAGAAATTTGAATGTGCAAGAAACTATAAAATGCAAACAATTTGCAAGAATATAAAAAAAGATTGGAAGTAAAGTTCATGTTATAATATTTGCTGAATAAAATAAATTCCTATTTAGGTCTGGGTTAGGTCTGTGTTATTGTATGCAATTTGTATGGAATTTTTGTATGCACGTTCGCAAAGATTTTATTTTGCCTAAAGATCCGCAGTCTAATAATAATGTAATCAAATCTACAGCAATTATTGTCGAAGTAGTCGACGAATACATTCATGAACAGGGATTCTGTTCGTTACGTACCTTATGTAGGGCGTTTAAACCATTGCTATCTTTGCTACACAAGACGATGGGCGACGTAGAGTCAATTTTCTTTTTCAGTTCCTCTAAATTGTTTTCTACCGTTGCTGCATGGATATCTTTTACTGTACCCTGTGATAAATAACAAAAATTAATTTTTCTTGAAGATAGAGAACATTTGAAAAACAATTTGTTGTGAGTACTTATGTTGTATTTGCAATGCTAAAATCTTAAAAGGTTCATCCTTTTAAATAATTCTTTTAGTTTTGTTTATAATAATATTTAATTTATTTGCGTTAGGGTAGGTAATTAATTTAGTTTTATTTCCCTTAGACTGAAGATGACACAATACAAACGTTTGCATTTGCTTGCAATGAAGATGGAATAGCTTTCATTTATTTTCTCATGAGGAACGTTTTATTGTTGAATCGGTTAAAAATTTGATCGAGAATACAAACCATTATAAACGGGACAGCTTCCAGAAACCTTTTAACGCGAGGATTATTACTGGTCTCGACCCGAAGTCTTTGCCCATGTCCTTCCCACAAAACTTGTTGCAATTTTCCAATGTCCCTGTTATGGATCCATATTCTTATGTTGGAAGGCTTAAAGTCCAAACCTAGAAGAGATATTTTTTTCTTGTCAGTTACACTAATTATTTCAATGATTTTGAATTAAACAATATTTTTCGATGACAATAGTTCTCCATTCATTGTTTTCCGTCCCCTTCGTTGGCTTCTTTATTGAATTAATGTTTGCATCAATTGTTTAGCGACTTCAGAACATTTCATTAAGGAAAGTGTTGCCCACTTATCTTTTATTTCGACGATAACGTTATAATCGGAAGCTTATGTAATATTTTCATTTATAAATTAAGTATCGTAACGACATGGCCTTCTTTCCTCGAGGTATGACTGCTTAGTTAAAAATTTACGAGTGACAAGATTTGTAACCATACATCGCGTGTTGGGGCAGTGTGATAAATATTTTAGATACGTGGACGAATCCTTTTACCAGCCGCTATCGATTTTGTGTCCGGCATCATTGCTCTAGTACCGAACAGAACAAAGACATTATTGATTTTCTTGAAAAACATTTTTGAGATTACGGCACAAGAAATTTATGAATTTATTAATTTAAAGAAATTTATTAATTTAACGTTAAAGATCACGGAAGAGTAGAAATTACTGTGGGATTAAATGAGTTACGAAGAACAACTATAATTAAAAATGAGTCATCAATTTTTATATAACTCCAATGAAAAATTGTCCAAGAAATTAAACGAGGTACTTATGCGCGCCAGTCTGGTAAAGACTTAAATGTCTTTAAATCGATAAATTGTCGTCTCTTATTTTTGTCTGAAATAAAATTCTAACTTTGTCTTCTATACGCATTATTTTGCTGTAAGAAGGATTCCTGCGTATTTTATTCAGTAGAAAATTGCAACGATCGTGCAAGGACGTAATGTTTTATTTCGACTTGGATTGCATGCTTCATGGTGGTTTAATAAATTTTTGAGAAGCTAGCCGGGTGTACGGACCTCGTCACATCGCTGACACTGTTTACATCGTATGTACTCTATGCTTTCTTGGTAAATAGATCAATCAATGTATGCGGAAATGCTAACGTACATTGTAGGCGTTTCATACTGACTTCGTGCGCCACGTAAAACACTGACAGCTTATAACAATTTAATGCAGCTTCGAGGCCCGTCAATTTAACAAAGTTCGAGTGCAACCTCAATAATTCGATGGCCGTTTTCATGGTTAAATACGAAATGGCAGTGCTCTTTGCGATGAAAATTGAAATTTGAAAATAGCAAAGGAAAAATAACGTCATTCTTTGTATAAAGTAAGGTATAGTAAATAAAATCAAGTATTATTAAATATTTAAGAAATATTTAATAATACTCAACTTAGTTTTATATTTAGGAAATAGATTATTTAGGAAATATTTAATAATACTAAACTTAGTTTTATATTAAACGACAGTGTCGATGTATAGTTGGTATAGTTTTGAAGACTTGAAACTACTAGATAAAGTAATTTAATATACTACAAGAATGTCTCGGAGGCCAAGAAATTAATTGCCATTCAAGTAACAATAATCGACTACACGTGAGCATGCATGGAAGCTTTAGACAATTGTTTTCCATTGGACTGAACATAATTGTCGACTCATCTTGTATTTCAGCATCGTCATTGATTTACCGTGGCAATTCACCTTCAACTTTGCGGAACTGTTATTCACAATTTTCTTCGAACAGTTTAGCATTCAATTTTAAATGGCGAACAGGCAAACGGAGATGAGGGCATTTCGGAAATAGGTCGTCGATCATCGAAATGCATATGTGTTTACGATGAACAGATGGTTCCAATCTTCTGTTGTAAATTGTGCCGTTCTGTCCTAACTAAAAATCGATCGCCGAACTGTTAATTCTCACATACGTTACACGCTACGTTATGGCAACAGATAAAGAATCTTTCGGAAGGAATTTTAGCATTCCAGTTTTTTTTTTAAGATGACGCCATTCACTTGTCCAGCTACATTGACAAGCATATTTAGATATTGAAAAACCTAAAGTTAGACCTAAAACAAAATCCTAAAGCTTCATTTGTAAAATAGTTTATAAGTAGAAGGAACTACCTTAACATTGTTAGAACGTATATTCCAAGGAAAATACTATAATGCATTTTGTATAGATTTGAGAATTTGAAGATCAAGAAACATATCCAATCGAATCGAAGAAAGGAATACAACATTTTTAGAGTGTAGTTAATTTTGAACTTAGATATCGTTAGAATTATTATCTCACTCGTGAGCTAATGT